TGCAGCCTGAGGTAAGGGGGACCCGTTGGCAGGCCCAGGCTCCCCCATGCAGGGCTGGTGCCTCTTGGGGTCAAAGACTGCCTTATGCACTGTAAACATAAACCAGAGGAGAGCCAGAGAGGTATGCCGATTGGGAGCAGCCCTCAGGGAGAGTGGGTGCCGAGGGGAGGGGGTGTTGGTGATGCCTGGGCACTGTTCTCTGGTCTTCAGGATTCTCTAGCTGGGTGTCCAGGAAGGGAGCCAGGGAGGGCTACCACACTCTGACTGTGGGGGGTCTTGTCTGCTCCCTCCCAGCCCCAGCACACTCTGGAGCAGCATGGGTGCCCACGGCGTCTGTTCTCACAGCCCCGGCAGTGCAGGAAGCTTCTGGGGAGGAGCGATGGGGCATAGGCTTTGCTGGCAGCTGGAGCCCCGGCCCTGGGTCGTTCAGGCCCCTGGTCTTGTCGGGTGGAGAGAACAACGGGTCTGGGATTTCTGTGCTTAGATTCTCTGTCCTTTGTCCTGGCATCGGGCTGGGCTCTCTCAGAAGCCCCCAGAATAGAGAGAGGGGTGATGCGATTCCTTAGGGGTCTGCCTTGAAGGGCCATCAGCCATGGGAGAGGATGGAAGGCCAAGAACGGTCTGAGGAGGCTCCTATGAGGGGAGAGGAGGAACCAGTGAGGGGTTGGTGAGGGCCCCTCGATTCTGGGCCCCTTGAGGGGCTTCCAGGAGCTCTGCAGAGCCCAGTTCCCCAGGGTCCTCTGCAGAGACCTTTTTGAAGGGCTGACAGGTGAAGGTTCTCCAGTGCCCGAGGGTGAGGTGGAGAACGAGACTCTGTCCTGACGTCCCCAGATGGCACTGGCCAAGGCAGTCTACAGCTCATGGATGAAATGTGAGAGGACTTCATAAAGTTCATAGGAAAACTGGGTTAAAATGTGAGTTTATTTTGGTGCAAAAAATCAAAATCCATGCTTTTTTTTTTTTTTTCTTGTGAACTTTTGGAAGACTCCTCATAGGCAGAGGGACCCCCCGTGGGCCAAAATGTGAGTTTATTTTGGTGCAAAAAATCGAAATCCATGCTTTTTTTTTTTTTTTTCTTGTGAACTTTTGGAAGACTCCTCATAGGCAGAGTGACACCCTGTGGTCCCCTGCGGGCAGGGTGACTGCAAACTAGCTATAGCAGCCACTGCTCACTGGAGCAAGGGATGGGTGTCTTATCCTGCCCGAGCTTGCATGCACCTGCTTAGCATAACCGAGAGTCAGGAGCCAGGAGTAAGAGGTGCTTTCGAGAGGCAGAAGCACAGAAAAGCTCCTCGCAAACCCCTAGCTTTGCCAGTCACCCACACAGTTTGCCTGTGCCAGTGTCACCTAGGAAGTCATTTGGCTTTTCTGAGCGTTTCTTTACCTCTAACACGTGGCCAGTCCCGTGGCCTACTTCAAGAGAGGGGTTTAGAGAATCTCATAAAAATAGCAACACTTACGTGGGTGTTATCGTGTGCACAGATTGCTCTTGGTGCCCTCGGAAACCCATTTTACAGCTGAAAAAACCGAGGCGCACAGAAGTAAAGTGAGGTCAAACCGTGCAAAGTAGAAGGGCTGGGAGCGGAAGCAGCCTCTGCAGCCCACACTCCCACCACGCGCTGCACTCACTGTTGAAAGCCGCGTGGTCATGTGCATGGAGGAGGGGGACAGCAAGTCCTGGTCACAGCCATGTGATTGAAGAGGAATCCAAAGGACAAGAGGCAAACGCGAAGGAGAGACCCAGGTGAGCCGGGGTCATGACAGCAGTCCCATGCGGTGGCGTGGGCACCACGGCCAGAATACCAAAAGCACTGCCAAGCTGCTGTGAGGTGTTTGGAAGGCGATGCCTTCCCAGGGGTCCAGTGCAAAAGGTCTCAGTTGTGCCAGCTTTCAGGCGGAACAATAGGAAGGGACTTTGGTCAAGCCTCTTCACTCTGCGCACGTCTGCCCAGGCCTCCCACAATGAAAGACCGAAAGGAAACGCATCCAGGGATTTATGCCCCCTTTAAATTGGTTGTCCCGCCTGCCCCGCCCCATGCCTTCCCGTACCTGTGTCCCGGGCTCAGATCTCTACCGAGGGGTCTGTGAAGCCCTTCTTTCCCTCATTCACCAGCACTGGCTTCTCTGTCCGTGTGTGCCAGACCAGGATCTGTGTGTTCAGAGACACAGAACAGAATGGGGCACAGGCCCCTGGCCTCACCCCGCCCCTGCCCTGCTCCCTCCCACACCCTGCAAATATTTCTCCTGCCCCCTCTCTGTGCCATCTGGAATTTCTCAAGTGTTCTTTATTCCTGGAATGCATGAGATGCTTTCAAAAGATCTGTTGGCAATAAGTTAAGAACTACAGGATGTAGACAAGTCTTAAGGTTTCCCAAGTGAGCATGTGCATGCACATCTGCTTGTGTCCACATGTGTGTGTGTTACACATGCACATGTATATGTGCACGTGCGCATGTGCACTTGTGCGGGAGGGAGTGGAGCACAGCTGTTCCGAAGGAGAGGTGGCAGTCCTGTCTGACTCCCTACGGGCTGCCCCTCGCCATCTCTCTGCCTGCCTTCCAGTGACAAACTGGAAGCTTTCAGAAAGGCAAAGCTGTTTTGAGGCCTGTTTCCTTCCTCAGCGGGTAGGGAGGGTCTGGACAGATTCTGAAGCTCGCACACAGAGCGTCCTGCAGAGGTCTCACCTTGGTGCAGTTGGCTGCCTTGGGCTCCAGGTCGTTGAGGGTGACGAGTTCTCGAAGGAGGCTGCTTTCCTGGTACCCTCCCTTCACGCCGCGCAGCTTGAAGTAGGCCTGGTTCCGCTGGAGGATAAGCCTCAGGTTGACTGCAAATCCAGCCATGTCTATTGCAAACGGGCGGTGGGGGTCGAACACCGTCTTCCAGCCGACCACCTTCCCCGCGCTGTTCACCCGTGGGGCCTCATAGCGCAGGCCGCCCACGAAGGCAACGGGCCACACAGATACCCTCCTGGTGCTGCGCATCTGCAAATGGGGTGCAGAGTCAGCACCCCTGGGACAGGTGAGGGGTGACCGTCCCCAGGGAGCTGAAATCCAACCATGCATGTGGGCATCTGAAGCCCTCTGGGAGCTCAGGGCCAGACTGCCTTCGGATACCATCCCGCATGGGCACCTGAAGAGGGACCTGCCCCTGGCAGTGGCCACCCCTCACCTCTCCACCTGTGGGTCCCCCCCCCACAACATGGCCGGCCCATAACCCGGAGGAAGCAAACGAATCCACCAAACAGGTTTGGGGCACCACACCAAAGGCCCTGACTCAGAGCCCTCCATCAGACCAGGACTACGGGAGCGCGAGCGCTTGGCTTCCTTCTGGCCAGCAGGGGGCGCTTTAACCCGCAGTGCGGGTTTCCATCCCTCTCCCTGACCCTCTGCATAGCCCCCTTCTGCACCGCTGTTCCGCCACTCCTCCGGCCGGTCGCCCCGCAACCACCTGCGTCCTCCACCCCGCGCCTCCACTCGCCCGCTCCGCCGGCCTTCCGCACCTCCTCAAAGAGCTCCAGGCTGTAGGTGTTGTCGTCGTCCGCGAAGTACACCACGCCGGGCTGGCTGGAGTTGCGGGGAAAGGTCTCGCGCAGCCACCGCAGGGCCAGGTTGCGCTGCATGGTGCCCCGCGGGATGCGCGGGTCGCGGGCATCGCCCCGCAGCTTGTAGTTGCGCGGCGTCTCCACGTGCAGGTGCGTGTAGTTGAGGCCGGTGTCGCGCAGCAGGCGCGTGGTCAGCGGAGTCCGGCGCGGCGCGTCCTCCACCACCAGCCAGCGCAGGTTGG